CTGACTCCTACCTCAATTTTCTTATTTACTGAGACTCAGCTCCAGTAAATATTGGGTTTAAAAGCCACTTGACGGGCAATGGAGTTCACAACATCTTTCTGGGGTTAACAAATGTTAGCTCTTCCAAACTGGCATTCTGTGATAGCTGCTCTTAAAATTCCTGGCAGTTGAGAGTTCCAGGTTTTTGAAGTTTTTTCATTATACTATTCCTTCATAGAATATTTCAGCTATTACTTCTCTCAAAATAACAGAAATAGTTTTCAAGACTATGGTGTTATGATAGGACTAAAAATAGGAAGACATTAAGTTAAATAATTAAGGTCACAGTATGTCACTTTCATGTGTATAACTCTGTGTATGAACTCCTTCATGGCCCTTGACTACTAAACCACAATTTCAAGAAAATTATATAGTCTAATTATTATTAGTAGTAGTATTTTGAGACACAGTCTTGCTCTGTCACCTAGGCTGGAATGCAGGGGTGTGATCTTGGCTTACTGCAACCTTCGCCACCCTGGTTCAAGCGATTATCCTGACTTAGCCTCCCAAGTAGATGGGATTACAGGCACCTGCCACCATGTCCAGCTAATTTTTGTATTTTTAGTAGAGATGGGGTTTTGCCATGTTGGCCAGGCTGGTTTCAAACTCCTGACCTCAGATGATCCACCTGCCTCAGATTCCCAAAACGCTGGGATTACAGATGGGAGCCACTGTGCCCAGCCTATATAGTCTAATTAATAGGCTAAAGAAAAGGCTGTATTTATAAATTCCCAAAATAGTTAACACATAGATTATTCATCCTGCACTTTAAATCTATTAGAGTACATATCTCAATTAACCCACCCTTTCATCAAAAACATAGCTTATCAAAACTCTTCTACTACATCTAAATATGATCCAAGCAGCAGTATATGCCCAGAAAAAAAATCCAGTCCCTGTACAACACTATGTTGAAACCATCTCTTCTCTCATTACCAATTAAATCTCCTCCCTTTCACAGGCTGGAGGTTTTCCTGACTTCAAGTCTAGAAATTTACAAATATATTGTTTAATCCAACATAACACTATACTTTCAGGATATTGTTTCTGATTTGATGCAACTACATCATCTTCTACCTCAAAACTGTATGTACTGCCTTTAAAATCATATGGGGGGCCGGGCGCGGTGGCTCAAGCCGGTAATCCCAGCACTTTAGGAGGCCGAGGCAGGTGGATCACGAGGTCAAGAGATCGAGACCATCCTGGTCAACATGGTGAAACCCCGTCTCTACTAAAAATACAAAAAAAAAAAAAAAATTAGCTGGGCACGGTGGCGTGTGCCTGTAATCCCAGCTACTCAGGAGGCTGAGGCAGGAGAATTGCCTGAACCCAGGAGGCGGAGGTTGCGGTGAGCCGAGATCACGCCATTGCACTCCAGCCTGGGTAACAAGAGCGAAACTCCGTCTCAAAAAAAAAAATAATAATAATCACATGGGGCCCACTGAATATCTGGTAAACTCAAAGTGTTCTACATGGAAGCTTTCACATTCCATGCTCTCTCATTCTGACCACAGAAGTCACCCTTCCTCTTCCCACATTCACACCTGATCCTTGCCCTTAAGGTGTATTCTAATTCCTTAATTCTTTTCTATTCTCCAACTAAATTATCCTCCATCTGGTAATACTTAACGTTCTAAATGGCCTGAACAGACAGTCACTACTTCAATTAAATTCTTCTTAGAAATCCTTACCCTTCTTGTTACACTAGTCAGCTCCAGCCCCAAGGTTTAGTTTAACACTACTCTATCTGCCATCAAGTTGCTGAGTAATGCTTGAGAATAGTAACAAAACAATTGAGTTTCCAATGAACTCATGCTTTCTTCAACCATGCCCTAAAGTTTCAAAATCCACAATGATTTAATCTCCTTACATACTGATCACACATTGACTTAAATAGGCTCCCAACCTCCTCCACTCTCACTTTTAATCACAACCTCTTCTCTTTGTGCTACTGAAAATAAAACAACTCTACCTTAAAAATATTCCCATAACTGCTGATCTCAACCCCTCCTGATTCTTCTGGGACCTTCCTCCAATCATTACACATCCTCTTAGGCAGCCCCTCTCTAACTCCTCCTTCTCTGCTAACTTTTTCCTTTTTTTTCTTCTTTTCCCCAACTCTAGAATGACCATGTTCTTTTACCTCAAATTACACTTGCTGCCTCCACCAGATGGAGATTACTCTCTGCAAGCTTTAATTACTTCACTATATTTACTGATCACTTTCTTAGATGTGACCTCTTCTCCTTGACCATACATAATATGTTTACAATCAGTTCTCTTTCACAACCTTCTCTTTCTCTGGCTATGATGACTTTATGCAAGTGATTCCCAGACAGTGGGAAAGAAGTGAGAAGAGGTATAACCAAATAATCTCTGAGGTTTTAAAAAGTATCTACCACCCCACCAACTTCCTCAAATTCTGATTCTTTCCTTGCTGAACATAAGTGTTTTAATGGAGAATCACTGCCACAGTGAACCACTATGACTGTCTGCAGTACTCTCTGTATACACTAAACATTATTGTGGTTTTACTCCCACTCCTCTGGTCATTTTTTAAAGTTCTTAAAGGGCTTTTACTAATAACTAGGGATATAAAATAATATCTTAGACTATTTAGATGGGGTATAAACACAATATAATCAACACCCATCTAGGTTTAAGAATAAGAACATTATCATTACCTTCCAAGTCCCTCTGTGAGGCCCTCTCCAAATACAGATCTTCTTCTCTTCCAGAAAAAAATCACGGTCCTAAATTGAAATCATTCCTTGCTTTTCTTTAACGTAACCATATGTTTGATTCTCTAAGGTTTAGTTATACGTGTTTCAGAATGTTAACATATATGGAATCACACTATATGCACTCTTCTGTGACGCTTTCATCTCAACATTGTATTTCTTAGAGCTGGTGAGCATCTGTATCGCATGCACTTTTCTCCACTGAATATTATGCTCTGGCATGTGTAAACCAAAATATGCCACTTAAGCACAAGAATTATTTTGAGCTGAAGAACTTTTAGAAAAAAACAGATACAGGAAAAGCTGTCTGCCCTATTTGCTAAAAGCAGGACATAAATTCACAAAGGTGTCCTTCCTCTTCTCTTTACCAGGAAGGACAAAAGTTAATCAAAGGAGACAACTTAGCCAGAGGAATCTACATAACAAACTTTACTAACTAGTCTTCATCTATCATTAGTTTCCCATAGTTTGCTGCTCCTAGAGATTCAAGGTCCTTTTCTTATAATCACTTCTCTAAAAACTTTTTGCTTCTTTGCCAAGATACTATGTAAACTCAAGTTCTAACCAAACTTTTTCATTTCTGGTATTCCTATAGGTTGCATGCTTGATACACGTTAATAAGCTTCTGTTTGTTTTTCTCTTGTTTATCGATCTTTTGTTATAGGAGCCCAAATCCGAATTCAGAACAGCAGAAGGAAAATTGTTTTTCCTCTCCTTACAACTAGCATATGCTACTTATTATAATTGATATTATCATAAACAAGTCTTGTCTCCCTATCATGGGCACTATGAAGGACACAGTATCTAATACTTCATATACCTGATATTTAGAATAATACTATACACACAATTTTCAATGAAGGCTTAATATGATGGTCTATTCATGCAGTACTTGGCAACTAAATTTAGTTTTCTAAAAGCCAAGGGGAATAAAAAGACAAAATTCTCTTTAAAAGTCACACCTCTGCTTTTTAAAATGCTGAAACAATGTAAATTGTAATATTCTGACCTCAGACTTAAACTGACTTTCATGATTCAGGTGGGAGAAAGAAAAAAACCGGTGCTTAGGTTGACAAACAGATATACTCAAATTTTTGTTTTGTTTTGCTTTGTTTTTTTAAATCTACCCTGGTCAGACTTCCTAGAGACTTACAAATGGGCTGACAATATAATATAGAACTTGAGTCAACTGTTTTATAATCAAATTCAGGGAATAAGTTCAGAATTATCCCAAGTGCCTTTCAGATATATACTTACTGCAGTGTTTATAAACTTGTGGTTTTCACTTTTAACTGACTTAAAGGCTACACACAACATTGTAAAACAGTCATTTATTTACATCCCTATTTCCCACACTAGCCTATAGCATTTTGAAAGAACAAGATTTATTAATCTTTTTTCTTTGGTACCAAGCAGTTGCTAGGAACTCAATAAATGTTTATTGAATAAATCAGTCACAACTCGCAAGACAGATCTAAAAATCCATGAATATCTTATTCAGTTAATATAAGAAAAATTATATTATTATATCATAAGATATTCACTAAGATATAAATGTTTTAGCTATTATTAAAAAAACAAAAACAAAAACAAAAAGGAGCCAGAAGGAAAAAGCCACCTAATGGCACAAAAAATTTGTTAAGAGTCCTTTAAGGTTTTTATTTTTTGATGGCAAATAGAAACCAAATATATCATCTTAAAAAGGAAGTGACCACAAGAGGCAGCAGGTGAAAAGTTAAAAACTACAGCTTATATTAATAATCAACAACGTTTAGAGCAATCCATTAGTTAAATTTTAATTAGCTTATAAGTTTTAGACTGAGAGTGTGTCAGTATTTTCCACATTTCAAATGTCATACACAGCAAAAGGCATTATCACTACTGAAGGTAAATATTTTGGTTTAGCCTAAAAAATTTTACCTAGATCCTACATTTAAAGCTGACAAAAATATTCTAATGAAGATGTTCACAACAAAACATTATTTTTTTAAATTCGTTTTTCTTCTTTTAAGTTGCTTATATAGTAAAAAATGACTTGAAATAATGTCATAATAAACCAGTACTTTCTAAGAGTAATAAAATAACTATTGGTACCAATACATTTTCATGTGAGTCTTGTACAATTTCTCATAATTTATTAACTCTACCAAATTTTTAGTTGGGGGGGCAGAGATATTTGCTAACCATAAGAAAAATGATCTTCAAACATTTCAATCATACCTGTTTCTGAGCTTCTACTTTTTGCTTTCTGGTTGGATCAATTGCATCTACCATCCATTTGATAGTAAAGTATGTTACTGCACCAAATATTGTCAAACGGAAAATTAAACCAACAACTTCATTCCGACTCAAAGGACGAGAAAAGGCTTCAGCATGTACCATCTTGATTGTTAACCTTAAAAAACAAACAGAAATGTCACTAGGTAATAACTATACTTATTAAAATTGGGAGACTAACAAAGTAGCTTAAACTAATCAAGAAAAAATTAACTTCTAGTCAAATTAAAATATTACCTACCTTAAAAAAAGTGTTTCATTTTAAGGAGAAATGGATTTTTAAATGTTAAATAAATGAACACATTTAAAGCTCTTCTTGCAAACTGAAGTAGGCTAGAAACTAAGATTTATTTAGTAGTAGAATTAATCATTTTATTTGAAAAATACAGTAAATATCTTAAGGTATTTACTCAAACAGCTTTTAGGAACTATTTCAGAGTCTAGGAAAGTATCAACTATAACACTAATCCAACTGAAGAAAGGCAGCCCAACAATACTAATGTGATTGTAACAACTTCTTCCGGGCAGACACGGTGGCTCAAGCCTGTAATCCCAACACTTTGGGAGGCCAAGGCAGGTGGATCACAAGGTCGAGAGATCGAGACCATTCTGGTCAACATGGTGAAACCCTGTCTCTACTAAAAATACAAAAAATTAGCTGGGCTTGGTGGCGCGTGCCTGTAATCCCAGCTACTCGGGAGGCTGAGGCAGGAGAATTGCCTGAACCCAGGAGGCGGAGGTTGCGGTGAGCCGAGATCACACCATTGCACTCCAGCCTAGGTAACAAGAGCGAAACTCTGTCTCAAAAAAAAGAACTTCTTCCATTAAGTGTACCATATACCAGATAGTTTTTGAGTGAAATTCAAATTGTAAACTAACTCACTTTTTCCTCATGCCTACATTTAAAAGTTTTCAAGGCCTGCTTAAATGTAATCATGCCATTTTCTCAATTAATAAGCTGCATTAAATTTTTTGAGCCATGCTATTGCTCCCAACAACCCAGCTAAGTAGGAAGTAATAGAATTTAGAAAAATCGTGAACTGAGACAACTACTACAAGAATACAGCACTCACCCAAGCTAAAGAGAAAAAAAAGAGGCAAATGTGCCTACTTTTACATATATCCCTGAACAGCTACATCAATCAAAGCTAGGCTTCCAGGAGACATACACTGCTCTGTCAATGGCAATAACCACCTGGAAGAATAAGCTTGCTAGAGATGATATGACTGTAACACTTGCGGAGATAGGATCTTAGCTTCAAATAATGCCATTATACTCTCAGCAAAGGAGTGTGCTGAATGCTATGAGATATATAAGAAAAAGGAAAAATATATTTGCACTCACATAAACACGAAAAAAAAAAGAATTTGTATGGCTCAGCAACAGATGAAAGTTAAGTACTGCATAGATTAATATCCATGGTCCTTCCAGCTCTAAAATTCTCTTCTCACTACTACTAAAGAGCCTCTTCACCTTCCTTCCTCTAGAATAGCTCCAAAAATTTTTTATTTCCTTTTATACACTTCACCACCACTCAAGGATAGACACTCCCTGTCTTTAATCAAGACTCACAAGTATTCCCTTTCCAGGATTCCCAAGCATTCAAAACTATCCTAATCTAGAATCTAGGTGAGTCAATTTTAAGCACTTTATCTTTTACCCCTTTTCAAAGGGATGCCCAATAGCTGGAGTCACTAGCATCCGAAAATCCCACATATATTTTCCCTTCAGCACATCTATCTGGTACCCTGCATGGGCCCTTTACCCTCATTCATCCAGGGTTAGTCAAATTCTAACCAAACTTCAAAAATCAACTTTATCTGCTCCATAAAGATTTTCGAATCACATGAATCTTCTACAGTATTCATTTTGCCCTATTACACTATCTTGAGAAATAATCTTGCTTTTAATCGTTATTCAGCTTTTGAGATATCTATTCAACTAGAGTTTAAATCCTTATAAACAAGATGTATATCTTATCTACCTTTATAACTGTCACACAAAAAGCAGACCTTTATAATTGCCACACACAAAACAGAGGCTATTCAAAAATTATCTGTTCAACAGATAAATTGCAACTGAAGAAAACCTCCCACTCAATCATTCCAACAGAATCGCTACCAGACTTATAAAGGATTTCAGAAAGTTAAGGTTCCACATTTCTCCATGACTAGGAGCCATTCACTTCACAATAATTATATTTAATTAAAACTTAACAACTAAATAATTGAAAGCCTTCATTTTGGAGAAAGAAACTTTGGCCTAGGGAATGTTAAGTGACTTAATTCCTTCAAATTAGCACTTGCTGAACATCTATGATGCCCAGTATATACTGGATATACAATAATCGTTAAGATACCACTACTTTCTCAAAGAACACATTGCCTGGCTATTGTATTAATTATAAAGAAAGCAAAATAAACCAAAAAGGAGAAGGTACCTTACTGAAATCTCTCATGTAACAAATCAAAGTGTGCTATCTTCCAACAACATGGATTCCAAAAAAATGGGTTATACAATATTTCACTTCTCATATAAGTAAAAAACTGACTTTTCTAGTCTTTAGTCCACAAAGTTGAAAATGCAGTTGAAATGTGTTATATCACTATGTGGAAATAATTCATAGATGAAAATAACTTAGACAGGATAAGGGTTTTATTAACTTCATCTATGAAAAGTCGTGGCATTCCAGTAAAATGTGTTCATTTGTTTAGAGTTGGTAGTGATAAAACTGTCATCTCTCGGATATTCATTGAACTACATGAAGAAATTAGGGCTGTTATGAGCACATCTCAGTTATCAAGATAGTAACAACTTTTAATCCTATAAACGGTCAAGACACAAAACCTGTTTCTATCTCTCCCAATTCTGAAATGATTAACGTAGTACACAGTAAAGACAGGTCTACTAAGGCCACCTGTAAAATAGTAGTCCACCTTTTAAAATTACTTCAAAATACTTCAATACTTCAATGAAACTGAGACTTTTTTGTAGACTGTATCTGTATATACTTTATTGTACACTCATGTATCATTCATTTGGTATTGATATACCTGCAGTGTAAAGCTGTTACAGCAACAATACCATTACAGCGAACATAAAGAAAACCTGCATGTGCATACAACAGCGGGGAGTGTATTTCAATCCTGTATAAACATTAGGTTCAACAAAATGAATACTCAAATATGTATATATATGATGATAGCGCTGTATGCAAGTAAGAAACATCCCAAAACACTGTAAGCTAGAGTTATTTGTTAGGCAAATATGGCATCAGGTCGCTTCATTTTTAGTTCTCCATTTCAGAGTGGAGAACTCTGAAATCGTACTATCTATGAGCAATTTATTAACATGTATAGCATTCATAACATAGCATTCACTGTAGTATTTCTCTCCTAATTCATTGCAGTATTTCACAAAGGGTTTCTCAAACTCAAAAGTCCCAGTTTCGCAGACATAAAGGCCCTACGAATACAGCCTATGACAATGAAGGCCTGCCAATCTTCCACAAAGAGGGCAGGTTATTATTATCATATCTTCCGTGAAAGCGCGCCCAGCCCTGAAGAACCACCTCCGACTTTGCACAAGGTGGTGGCGGCGCCTGTGCGACAATCAGACCTGGTTCATTCCAGCCGCCTTCGTCTAGGTTCGCCTCGTTCTGAAGTCTTCCGGGACGACCCAAAACCCCCACAGTGACCAGGATGCCTACAAAGATTCCCTCGGGAATGGCTCGAGTCTTGAGGAAGAGCTAAGCAGACCCTAAGGGCCGAGGCCGGGCCGGACTCCAAGGCGAGGCCCAGGACGCCCTTGGAGGTTAATCCGCTCGATACTAAGGGCTGCGGGGCGCTGGGGGGCGGCACTGAGGTGGGGCGTGGGAGAAAGCCGGGGTGACCTTTCTTCCGGGGGCTTCCAGGTCTGAGCCGATCCTTAAAGGACTTCAGCAGGATACGACACCCATCCCACGAGGCCCCGCGGGAACCCGCTACTCACCCACGAGCAGAAACAGCCGGAGCAAGTGCCCTGAGCCGGCCTCGCACAGGAAGGAAATGCAGCCTAGGAGAGAACGCTTCCGGTAGGAGCCGCGGCCCACCCCCTCGCACGGAGCATGCGCGACCCGCGGCCGCCCGCGAAGCGGGGGCGTGCTCCCAGGCTTAGAAAGGGTCCAGAGGGTTTGAGCCAGAGTGTATTCGCGCATCCGGCGGTTGCTTAACCTGCCACCTGCTGGACGGCGACTTTCTGCGAAGCCAGCGTGTCTGCGAGCAGCATTCGCTAAGGCTCTGAGTTTAACAGAGACTCGGCCGGGCGCGGTGGCTCAAGCCTGTAATCCCAGCACTTTGGGAGGCCGAGGCAGGTGGATCACGAGGTCAAGAGATGGAGACCATCCTGGTCAACATGGTGAAACCCCGTCTCTACTAAAAATACAAAAAATTAGCTGGGCACGGGTGGCGCGTGCCTGTAATCCCAGCTACTCAGGAGGCTGAGGCAGGAGAATTGCCTGAACCCAGGAGGCGGAGGTTGCGGTGAGCCGAGATCGCGCCATTGCACTCCAGCCTGGGTAACGAGTGAAACTCCGTCTCAAAAACAAAACAAAACAAAACAAACAAACAAAAAAAACCCAGAGACTCAATTTGGGAAGGCGCTTATCACAAAAAGTCCCTGCCCTTCTCGCGGGCTCCGGACACAACCCTGACAAATCGAGCAGCCTTCTTGAGAGTGCAGGAATGCTCCATGTACCCTGCAAAGAAAATCTCTTTTTCTCACCACTCTGTGCAAACCCTTACTCTGTGGCTCTGTGTCTGTACTGTAGCCGAAACACAGAAGCTCATGGCCACCCTCACCCCTCACCCCAACCCCTAACCACCCCCATCTCCCTTTCAGTTCTAGGGTGAGCTCACACTCCTCCCGCATATCTGGTAAGAACCTGGGGGTGGCGCCTGACAATCCTTGCGGGAAAATATTTAGAAGCCCACGCCGGCGCTGGGTAGTTGGGACGTTAATAGGGCATCTGGTAACAGGTTTTGCATTTTGGTGATTTTTTCTTTTACAAACCCTTTCCCTTTCCAGAACGAGTGACGTGACACAAGAGGTCCCAAGGGAGCAAACCTGAAAGCCAGCGCCTCTTGGTTACACAGCCTGCCAGGGAGCCAGATGACATTAGACACTCAGGAGATATAAGAAGCATCACTTCCTTCAGATAGAGTCGGTGAGACTGTGATGTAATTAGAGTTCTCCATGTGTTCCTCAGGAAGGCAGTTTGTGCCTTTCTACTTGAAGCATTATGTTTGATGGCTAAAAAATTCTGCAGCTTGGCCAACACAGTGGCTCACGCCTGTAAATCCCAACACTTTGGGAGGCTGAGGCAGGAGGATTACTTGAGGTCAGGAATTCGAGACCAGCCTGGACAACGTAATGAGAGTTCGTCTCTACAAAAAAAAAAAAAAAAAAAAAAACCCAAAAAACTAAAAATTAGCTGAATTTGGTAGCACGTATCTGTAGTCCCAGCTACTTGGAAGGCTGAGGTGGGAGAATCGCTTGAGCCCAGGAGATCAGGGCTGCAGTGAACAGTGATCAAGCCACTCCACTCCAGCTTGGGCAACAGAGGAAGCTCCTGTCTCAATAATAATAATTTTGATTGCTGATTGTTAACGAATGTTACTAGTTATAAACTTGTAATACTGTGGTGAAGATAATACCTAGTGAATGTCTAATAGAGGTGGGGCAATATGCTCCTATTTGCTTTGCATGCATAATCTAAATTTCTCCCCCAAAATCCTCTAAAATAGCCATTATTTTCTCCGTTTTTACAAATGAGCAAATTTTAAAGCTTAAAGCTTAGAGAAAGTTTTTTAAGTTCATACACTTAGGAAATAAATGGCAACAATTGCATTGGAACATAGATCTGTCTAATTCAAACCTTGTACTTTACATTTTCTCTTAGTTTAATGCCAGCTAAACTTTAAAATCTAGTTGAAGGTAATACCATGAAATGCCAAAATCACAAGGCTTTAAAGGATGGGATGATGGGGATGCATGAATGTTGAAAAACTATGATTGAGTTCACGGACAGGAATCAGAATGGAATTTAATACTTTAAGTAATTCATGTTTTACATCTATGCCTTTTTAGTCTTTAAGGCTTTATATGTGTGCATGCCTACATTCCTAATTTTTTAAGAAATTGATGCGAAGCTAGGTTGGGGATTACTAGACTAATTATTTAGACAGATAAACCTTTGAGAAGAACAGGAAGATTATGAGACCAGGACAATGTTCATTAAAAATAACAACAACAACCAAAAAAAAAACCAAAAAACAAAACAAAGGCTATCAGTGCTCAGCAGTCTTTCAAGGGACTTTCCACTGGGTCCCTGGATGATCCCAAGCTGAATAATTGCTTGGAAGACTCATGGGCAGATGGTTTGACAGGGCTAAAAGGGAGGAGTCACTAAAGAAAAGAGACAGGTTTTGTGCCCCAATAGGGTAATTATGCCCACTGGTAAGGAAAATGACCTGAGACATTAAAGAGGGTAATTGATTTTCATTCATTTGCTGAGTGAAATTTGTTCAACTAAGAGCCTCATCTGCCCTCCTCTAAGGACCAGGGTGACCAGCCTACCCAGTTTCAGTTTGCATGAGATTAAAAGGTTTGCTGGTATATAAGACTGCCTGAGAAAGTCTCAGACAAATCATGAGTCACTCTACTAAAGACATCCTAAATGAATCCTGCAATGAAATGGAGTTCCCAATATGGTTGCATCTAGTCTCAATTCATCTGCCTAATACCTGAGGGATGATTGCAAAGGAAAGGAAACAGTTGAATAAAGTCATCAAGGCTGACCATAAAGAGCCTACAAGCTCGAAAAGTGCTACACTTCATTCCCTTTCCAGTGGTTCAGCTATAAACCAAATGCCTACACCTATATGTTTTGGACCTAACATTTTCATTTAGCAAACCCTTAAGAAATCTTTCATGTCTGGGCCTAAGCCATCAAAGTAACTGCCTATCCACATCCCAGGCATCTTCATTTTCAGCAATCACCAAATCAATGAGGTTCTTCCAGAATAGAGCAGAGCGAACATATGCTTTTCATTCCAGGATAGCTTTATATAATCTCTGGCAACACAAAATACCATATTTGGCCCACAGTAGGGGCTCAATAAATAATTCATTATATATAATATTAATCAGAAAATTAGAGCAGATTGTAGACTTTCTAGGCCTTTGCCCTTTGTTAGAATGAAGATGGTAAAAATAATTATTACTTTGTTGTAGAAAGTTTTTGAGTTTTATATGTGTTTTGTGTATCAATACCTCTTAAAATAGTTATGGCATTTCTCCCCCATGGTACTGAATTTTCCATTTTTATTATTAAATGGAACAAGGCTAGTTTGTGCTGCAACCAAGGTTAATGCACTAAATACCTGATAGGAGGAGAGGATTCCTTAGATTAGGTGTTCTCCGCTGGGTGTGGTGGCTCACACCTGTAGTCCTAGCACTGTGGGAGGTTGAGGTGGGTGGATCACCTGAGGTCAGAAGTTCAAATCCAGCCTGACCAACAGGGTTAAATTTGTCTCTACTAAAAATAATATAAAACTTAGCCAGGCATGGTGGCAGGAGCCTATAATCCCAGCTACTCAGAAGGCTGAGGCAGGAGAATTGCTTGATTCTGAGAGGCGGAGGTTGTGGTGAGTCGAGATCGCACCACTACACTCCACCCTGGGTGACAGAGTAAGACTCCATCTCAAAAGAAAAAAAAAAAAAAAAGATGAGATGTTCTCAAATTTCATTGTATGTAGATTAACTTGGACAACTTGGCAAAATGGAGATTCTTGGCTCCCACTCTTCAGAGACTCCCATTCAACTGCTCTAGGTTTTGGCCTAGAAATCTGTATTTTAAAATAAGCATTTGGGCTCTCTGCCATGTGAGAATGCAAGAAGGTGTCTGTCTGAAAGCCAGGAAGGGTACCAGACACAACATATGCCAGGATATTGGACTTCCCAGGGTCCAGAACTGGGAGAAATAAATTTGTATTATTTAAGTCTATCAATAAATCAGTAAACAAACATCTGAGCTGATGTTTGGGATATAGGTAGGTTTGGACCACATTTTGAGAAACTCTGCCCTAGTGAATGAAGACTGTAGATGTATTTTTGCAAAAATCTCTACCACCTCAGCCTAAAAGGCCTGTCTGGTCATCTAAACCATTAGCCCAACTGGACTACATCAAGAAATCAAGGCAAGGAAGCCTCACGATGAGATTCAGGATAGAACCCTTTGAAAGGAAAAACCTTTCAAATTGTGCCAGTATAAGTCACTTGGTAACCTTGGTTCTTTAAAAATATCATAAAAGGATAATTTCAATTATTATTTTTTAATTTTTAAAATCATGTCTTCTGAATCATATGAACTGTTATGTTGATAAGGTAAATTAAGTAGAATGGGTGGAGAAAGAAAAGTAAAGCAAGAATATGAAGATGAAGCTATACCTGAAGCAGTACTTGAAGCCCCACTAGAAAGAATATTATAGAACACAATGGAGTTCTATTCAGCCATTTAAAAAATGAGATTCTGTCATTTGCAACAACAGGGACAGAACTGTAGAACATTATATTAAGTGAAATAATCCAAGCACAGAAAAACAAACTTTGCATATTCTCATTTGTGGGAGCTAAAAATTAAAACAGTTGTACTCATGGAAATAGAAAGTAGAATGATGGTTACCAGAGGCTGGGAAGAATAGTGGTGGGGGATAGGAGGGAAGGGAGAATGGTAATGGGTACAAAATAGAGTCAGATAGAGTAAATGAGATATCTAGTACTTGATAACACAACAGGGTGACTACAGTCTAGAATAATTTATTGTGAAGTTTTAAATAACTAAAAGTGTAACTGTAATGTTTATAACACAAAGAAATGACAAATGCTTGAGGTAATGGATACCTCATTTACCCTGATGTAATTATTACACATTGTATGCCTGTATCAACATACATCATGTACCCTATAACTATATACACCTACTATGTACCCATAAACTTACAAAAACGAAAAAAAACTAAAATAAAAAATAAAAATAAGAAATAATAAGAAGCAAGGAAAAAATAATGGAAATTTAAAATTTCAAAAGATTAGAAGTGGAAAGATAAATTGATAGCTCCATTCTGTAAAAGAAAAAAAAAAAACAATGGCAAAGTTCAAAGAACATATTGTTGTAAATCTACTTTCCATGTTTTTATGTTTTTAAACTTTACACATAATTTTAAAGGAGTCTACATAAAAAACGTTATATATAATTTTCTTGTGTTATCAGGATAGTACTAATCCACAATCTGCATTTCTACATAACCTTTTTCTCAAGCAGTATTGCCAAGTGTACTTTTTTAAAACTTCTACCAAAAAATGTTTTCTAGGACTTGGAAATTTACTTACAATCTACAATATTTTATTTAACTTTAGTACAGTACTGTTTAAATGATACTATCTGTGAAAAGTCAGGATTGAGCAAAGCCAGAATTGCTTCAGATGTCTAACCTTACTATATAGCCTCATTAGCAGAAGTTTTAAGGTGTGAATGCAAGAGGGATCTCCCTACAATTAAATTGGGACCTTCATAGTGCTCCTGCCTATGGTTTCTTAAATGGGGAGGTGGTGGGAAAGATTGGCTAAGAATAACAAAGATATAAATGCATTAGTTAAAATAGAAGAAATAGTAGTGGAAATGTTAATTCTTCATTCCTGTAACAACAGATTGATAGATGAGGCATAAAACAAGACCAGATGCTGTGGTTTTCAGGATGCACTTGGCTTCCCATCCTATATAACCCAGAGCAATTTTTGCTCTAAGTAGGTCACTTGCCTGCTCTCATTTACCTGATTTTAGGAAGATGCCCTTGAAAGTGTTTAGAAAATAATAGGTACTGGTACTTAATATTTTAAAAATTAAGATTGCATAAAACCTTCCTCCTCCCACCCATTTTCCTAAAAGCCAGAATAACTGATAACCTTGAAGCATATGTGAAATTAAAATGAACAAGAATAATTGTAAATCTTTTATCTTCTAAGCACAAGTACACTAAACTCCTTGTCCATTTGGTTGGTTCCTATAATTCACTTTGCTTAGCATTGGCATAGTACTCAGCTCACAGAATTATAGTTGAAGTCTTTATTCTGCTATATTAGCATCTTGAAAAACAAGGATGCATA